ACCTTAACAATAAAGTCCTGGGTATGAAGACCACTTCAGAAGAATTCAGTAGTTGGAAATTAAAAAAAAAAACTGGCAATATGAAACTTAATTTAAAAAAATCCCTGATCTCAAAACAAATATTACAATCTTTCCAGCAACATATGTGACCCGTATACATTGGACCGTTTACAAGTTGATGATAACGATTATAAAGCTCCTAGTTCGTCAAATTAAACTGTCGATGAACATTTCCGTATACGTTAGTATGTGGAACTCACTTTGTAGTTATTTTACAAGGAACATAGGTAGATAAGCAACGATATGAATGACTAAACGTGTTCCTGCTAAAGTATTGTTAATTCATCTGAGACTATCGATGAGTCACCGCTTGAGACGCTAAAGTCGGAGGCTGGGTCCGACGACCGTTTGCAACGAACTCGGATTATTTGTCAACTCTGATTCATCGTCGTTCATTCGGAAATCTATTTACTTTTACCCCAGACGACTTTTATGACGTTTAACGAGTGTCCATAATAAATTACAAATATAATGCTCGTCATACCTTTTTTAAACTTAACGTATAAGTAACCACAATGCCACCTGGTGGTAAGTGGTGATGCAGACTTAGATGGTAAATCGCACTGTATTAGCGTAACAAAACCCTATTCACTCTTGCCTTGAAGACGCCCAGATTGTATTCGGACGGAAGACAGACGCGGGGAATTAGTTCACTCCTTTGCTGTACGCATAGGGTTACCAGTTCTCGAAAGGACCAACCCAGGAGAATTTTTTTATGAAATCGAGTAAGGGGGGAGGGTGAAAGAAAATCTCGACCATTTACTAATTTTTAAATTTATATTTACTTTGCTTTCGCGCAAAATCTAACATTTCGATTTTCCATCACAAAATCATAAAAGTTTTTACATGAAAATAGAAGTTTGTTAGTACCTTGTAACTGCTTTTACTGAAGAAATATTCGGTTTCTTTTTTTGTTCAATGCTTGTTCCATCGTGCCGAATACGCGCTCGCTAGAAGCATTAGAGACAGGAATGGAAAGAAAAAACGTGACCATTTTTTTAAATTCAGGACAGGGATTTCTGTCTTTCGATTTCGTAAAAAAATCAACCCAGCGTAAATCGGCTCTTATTTCTTCAACGAGCTGTGCTTGCATCCCACCCAAAAGTCCAAAATATGCCCAACCTCATCGTACAGTTTGTCACTATCTAAGTCAAGCATTTTTGACTAGCTGGCCCTAAAACATTTGCGGCAATACTACGCTTTTGTTCTTCCGGATGATACTTTTTTCGCAGTCATCGAATCAAAAAACATGACAGTGTTTAATTTGTGTCCAGAGTCTTGACTATAATACTCCATGCACGACCGGACTTTCGCATTAGGCAAGAAGTTGCCCCGGCGTGAAGTACCACCGCACCCCTACAAGGACACCAAATTTACTCTCGGCTGCTTTGGCTCTGGACTCAATGAACCACCCATAGTTGAGGTTCGGAGAAAATTTAACCCCTAACAACTGAAGGTGCTCAGTATACTCCAAGGACACATTCCGAAAAGTAGGAGCCTGGGCGAGCGGGCTCCTTTTAGCGGTGAAAAGACACGCTTGTATTTTGGACGCTTTGAATCTCACGAGATTGGTATCGCCCCAGTCGGAGACTGCCTGTAGTGTAAGATTCACATGCTCAACCATAACCTCTCATTTTGTCTGTATTTGATCCCGACTGGCCCGGGCACTTGGTTGGTATCTCTCCACAACTGAGCTATCGTCCGCATACCCATAGATACCGGGCATAAGTAGATCATTAATGTTCAACAGGAATAGAGTTACGAAGAGAACGGACACTTGAAAAACACCGGCAGCAGTCACCACAGGATTAGATGAGCAACCATCGACCGAATAGTAAAGTAAAGTAAAGTAAAGTTACAGCCTATATACGTCCAATGCTGGGCACAGTGTCCGCCGCGTTGCCCCAATGCGTGTTGGCGAACTTCACATGTCTTCGAAATAATTTTTTTTCTTTCCTTATTCCTCAGACATGCAGGTTTCCTCACGATGTTTTCCTTCGCCGCCGAGCACGTGATAAGTCAGCACTTAAAGTTACAGTAAACAATTTCATTGGCGCCGGTGGGTATCGAACCCGGGTTACTTACGTTCTGTTATATTTACAGCGAGCGTTAACCATGTGAGCTACCACGGCTCCATAGTAACATTATACAATCAAAACTACTGGTTATATAGTCGAAGTCAAGCGATAATCTCTGGAGTTTTATAAGCCATCATCATCATCGTCATTACAGCCCATCACAAATTCACAGCTGAACATAGATCTACCCCGCCAAACGTCGCTGAGTCTAAGAGACCTGAGCATCCTGCATCTGTCGTTTCAAATTCCTGCATCTATAGCCAAGGGTACACTTCGCTTACCAATATAAGGCAGTCACTGGAGAATCTTTTTTCCTCATAGTTTGTCGGCTCTTCAAGTTATATCATTACGAAGTTTACTACGCAAAGAAACACCGAGCTTAGCCATCTCTGTAACTCGCTGAGCTATCTTGAGCATTTTCATATGGCCAACTACATATTATGTTACGTGTTCCGTATCAGTCTTAATATGTCATCACTGGCCATATATTTATTTGTTTTTTAAAATAACTTTTTAAAAAGGATAAAAATCATTGTCGATAATGCGTACCATATCAACAAAACAATAGTAACAAAATATGAATTACTAATTTTGGATAAGAAATAAGATACCTATAAAGAAAATTATTTGAATTTAGTCTTCCACGTCACTGATCTCAACGAAACGGTAATTTCATAGGTAAAGAAATAAATGTCGAAAATTCACTGCATAGAATTCAGAATTGACCTGGAAGTCACTCCTCCAAGTAGCTATGGAGGCAGTTGCTGTTGCTGCGTGCTCCTGTAGTTGTTGCATGCTCCTGACTCTTAGCAAATTTCTACGTGCTCCTGATTCTCGTCGACCTACTTTGCGTTAAACGTACAAACCAACAAAGGCCTGGACTCTCCCCTGTGATTGCGGAACTGTATCGTATACTCTACGGACTGTAGTGTTTTAGTCTATCCTTTGTTGATTAATTTATATTAATAAATTCTTTGAATAAAGTTTACTTCTTTCGATTCTTATCTCATTATATTAAATTATTATAACTTATTGTGACAATTTCCTTATTGCATATCAACTACGATTTAATTTATATATTATAATAGTTTTTCTAGCTATTCCTATATAATTATCATGTTTTATTTTCCTGAAAAGTTCATACGACCGGCAAAATATTAAGACCAAAGCAAACTTCATCCTCTAATCCACGACTCAACTTCAATAAGTCTGTCACTCGAGTCTAATTGCTTTATATGATAAGAAATAAATTAATAAAAAATAAAAGAACTTAACGAAACACCCCAGGTAAAGCAAATTGTGCATGTGACATTTGTGTAGGTACGCTTAAGTTCGGGCCTTTAACCAATATGTAATCAATAGCTTACAAAAATTCCATTACACTTGTAGATTAGTTTTCGAATTAAAGTTCTATACAGTTTTTAAGCACATTGTCTTCATCAAGGCACGTTTAAAATCGTTCGTAGTACCTAAGGTGAAAATCATGCCAGTTGAATGTCGCGTACATTTATAACAAATATCAAATATTGTATATCGGATTTATGACTTTTATTTTCGTTAAATAGGCTTATACTTATGGAGTGATTCTGCATAAATTGGGAGGAAATATTTCTAAAGTGTAACAATATACATCATTTAAACAATGATATACATATTTCCTAATTTCATAAATTAAATTTATGATTAAAACTTACATTGTTAAAAAGAAACGAAAACATATTTTATTAATATATTATTTACCGCGCCAGGGCAAAAGGCAATAAGATAGCACTGATCCAACTGGTGAATGGTTTCAATTATCAACAATAGTTACAAATTAGTCACATTACATTTGAGCTATGAGTACACATTATTAGATGTGCGCAATCTGTTAGCACAATTTATTTATAACACGATAAAAGCCGTTTACTTTTAATCCATTAGCCAAGCTATCTAATTTTCCAGCAATTAGCTCTACACGTTATATTCTAATTTTATTCCATTTCACAAGCTTTAACAACACCAAGCATTAAATTAGTCAGCATAGAAAGATGATTAAAATATCAGTTCTACTTCCCCCGATTAAAAATAGAAAGAGAAGTTTAGCATCTTTTTTTCGTCGTTCAATGGTTAATGGCTATGTATCAAACAATTGATTGTTTAAAAATCAGAATAATTTCAGAGCCATTCCGCTGTACTTTTCATTCCATTGTATTAACTTGCAAACAACACGTGCGTTACCATAAATAAACAGTATAAAGAGTTTTGTTTCTTCTACTTCTACTTCTAAGCTTCTATTTTTTCTTTTTAATTGTAACGGTTGGAGTTGCCAGTCTCAAAGGTATGGCTTTACAAAGTTATGAAGCGCATGCATTTTCGTACATAAATTATAAATGTTTGTAATTGTGTATGAAAGTCAAATTTCGCAGACTGTGGTGGTATTTATATACCTATGTGAGACAATCATTAATCCACAGCTTGTATTAAGGTGAACTGAGCTAATTATAAAGATTAGTTATACTTGGGTCTAATATATTTCAGTTCCAATGGACAAACTAAGTACCACAGAGTACTTTATTTAAAATTGAAGCAAAAAAAACTGCTAAATACATTACTATGTTCACGTTACTAACTACGCGTCCAATAAGTATAGGTTTATTTAAAATAAACCATGTCGGGCATAGCTTTGAAACTAACACTGTCCTCCACCACATACACAAGATACAAGAGGATTTGACTAATCATGTCACAAACTATTACTGAATTATAAGTTGGTAACACTGATTTGTTTAGACCGATTGTGATAATCTATGATAGTTCAGACTTCAGATGTTAGTGTTAGCAGAAGTCAATCAGTCAATAGATCAAAGATAAAATTCAAACCTGTTTGTGTTATTGGAGTGGTATACGCAGTTGCGGTTGCGCATATTATAACGATTCCACTCGTCACCAATAATAGCCGCCAACTCCAACTGCTAAACATGTTGGATATAACTGAATTTTATATTTACATAACACAAAAAGGTGTTTCTTTAAACAACGTTATGTTGCAAAACAGTTATTCCATATTAAATAATTGCAATTTCGCGTTCTATTTTAGACTTCTTTATCCAAATTCACGGCCATCAAACAGACGTAACACAATCTAGGTAGTTGTTGTCGTAAACAAATTAAAACTTCAGAACACTGAGTCATTTCGTGTTAAACCATATGCAATGCAATAGGTAAACTCTAAACAATTGAGACTAACGCAATTAAAAACCAAATTTAATCACTTTGTTATACGTTATCACTTGTTTCATAATAACAGCTCGTTTACAAACAAAGAGAACTATTTTTCAATTGGGTCACCATAAAAGTTGACAAGAAATTGATTGCGCGACACGTGATACAGTGAAACCGTAATGACGCGACCGAATCGCGGCCTTTACTTCGACGGAATGCCCAATGCGAGACGCGACTAGTATAGAGCTCGCATGCGGCTGCCACGACCTCGACATCAGACTAAGATAACACCATACGGGCACCATGCAAAGGAAAGAGAGTTTAGATAACATTCAACAAAGACGCGGACTATTCCAAATTACAAACATCACTAGTTCGTTAAGATAAAAAAAAACGATAAAGCAAACAATCGAAGGCCAATAACTAAAACAAAATTAAGAAAAGTTAAATTATTTATGAAACATTTTTTGTTTGCTTTAAAAATCTTTTATTAAAACGTTATTGCTAGTTCTTCATTTAATGTATTCCAAGTGATTGATGAAAATAACTATTATTTCAAGTTGTAAGATATTTATTTCATACCATACTAATATTTTTTTAATATTATAAGAAAATTAAAACTCGGAATCAACATGCAGTCTTACCTCCCGCGGTTTAGTGTCAGGTACACCTGCCAGCTTCTTTTACTCGCTGAATAGCTTTCGCCTTTGAGCGAGAAAAGAACCAGCCTTCATATCACCAGCAGTAACGACGACAAGACGAGGATACAGTTCCTTCAGAAACTTTACCGCACCAAGGTCTGTTAATATTTACAGGAGATGGTGCAATTATAAAGTCATATCTCAGAATCTTAGCTGCTTCATTTACTCTTCTTCTCATTCATCCTCATCTGATGCCGCACTAGCTTTAAACGAGACATCACTGAGATGATAGGTCGTAAAAGTGTCTACACACGTAACGTATAACAATGGGGCTTTACCTCTCTTCTAAGCAAATGAAGTCATGCCTACCGTCGTCTCTTAGTATACCAGAAGGCTCTTAAATCGAGGAAATAATTACAGAGACAAAAACTTTTTCGATAAAGTTGTTAAGAGAACCATAACAGGAAAAACTACCAACATTTTGTTTGTAAGATACGGTCATTACGACTGTTTAAGCCAGAGTTCCATTTAATTGTTAAAAGATTTGAGGCAAATAAAGAATTTATTCATTTATTTATTTTTCCTGACCATTTCGAATCAAAATAATTTTTGTTTGGCTAAGGTTTCTAATTTCAAAATAAAAAAAATATATATATATATATATATATATATATATATATATATATATAGGATAGGGTGACAAACGAGCACACAATCCACCTGATTTTTCCGATTTTCTTAATTTTAGTAATGGCCATTTTTGTAATAAACTTCTTAATATTTTTGCCAACTTTGGGAAGTCCTATAGTTGCCTCTTACAACTCCCGCGTGATAAAATAGGGTAAAAGATTATTGTACGCTGAGTTCTCACTGTAAATATTAATTACATAATATTTATAATTATAACAAGAACATCGGTATTCAATGAGGCTGGTATAAAATAGTCACTTTGCGACGTGTTTTATGCACGCTTGACCAAAGTGCTTAACAGCCTTTTGTCTGGTATGAATAAGACACACGCATATAAGGTTTAGGTCATGTCTGTCCTCATATATACCTTTGGACTTACCTTGCCTTATACTCAGGTGGACTCAGACTGAACTTAACGCCCTGGATAGAAAAGTCCGCACTACTATGACGTCGCATATAATGCATCATCCGAGATCGTCGGTAATGAGACTGTACTTGCCGCGAAAGCATGGTAGGCGTGGCTTCCTGAGCGCGCTCATCATGCATAATCGCGAAGTGTGCAGCCTTCGTAATATTTCCTTAAGAGATCGGATGATCCATTCTATAAGGAATTCATTTCTTGTGATAAAGGATTAACACTCTATCAACGACAAGAGAGCAATGGCAAGACCCGGCAGTGCAAAGCATTTCCGACCGGGAGACCGTATGGAAGGAGAAGGAGCTCCAAGGCTCTACATGAGCCTTTCGTAGACACAGTGGCCTTCCTCCACTGGCTACGTTTTAGTGACCTCTTCGGGGAAACCGAGGGTTTTGTCGGTGCAATACAGGATCAGGTTATCAAGACCAACAACTATCGGAGATACATCCTAAAGGATGGCACCGTCGTCATCTGTCGAGCTTGTCGCCATCCCGGTGAGTCACTTAGGCATGTCTTCTCCGGTTGTTCGGCGCTTTCTAACTCTGAGTACTTGCACAGGCACAACCTAGTAGCCAGGATTCTTCACCAGGAGCTTGCTCTGAAATACGGTCTCGTGGACCGGAAATTGCCGTATTACGAGCATTTGCCGGAAGCCGTGCTCGTAAATGATCGCGCCAGGCTCTACCGGGACCGAGCCATCATCACAGACAGGACTATTCTTGCGAATAAGCCTGATATTGTGCTGATGGACTGGGCACAGTCAAGGATATTTTTGATCGACATTACCATTCCGTATGACGAGAACCTCGTGAAAGCCGAAACAGATTAGCAAACAAAATATCTGGACCTGACTCACGAAGTGACCGACATGTGGGGTGGTCTGCCGACCGAAATTATTCCTGTAGTCGTTTCTACAAGCGGGCTAATCCCAGTCAGCCTCTCGGGTTATCTGAGGCGGCTGAGAATCCGTGACGGACCGCTCCAGTCTCAAATGCAGAAGGCGGTGCTCCTCGATACCGCCCGCATTGTCCGCCGGTTTCTTTCCCTTTCCCCCTAACCCTCGGCCGTTTGGTCTCTCCTGCCAAGGGCCTCCATCTGGTTGAGCTTTTATTTATTTACGTATTTTTTATTTATTTATGTTATTATATGAAATATATATTTATGTATATATTTATCATTACCTTTTATATATTTATTCAGCCTAACCAGATGAGAATACACTACTAATACCCCATAATAATTACCACTAACTTCCCAGTGGAAAGAATAAAAAAAATATCATATGTTTTAATATTTTATACAATTTTTCATTCGGCACAAAAAACTACTTGACCGATTTTGCTCAAAATTTAATGAGGTCTAAGTTACATAATTATGCGTTAAATGAAACCGGTCCCATGTCACTATCGCTCTTAATTCTCGAGATACAAGAGGCGAAAATTGAATCCGAACAATACACACATACATACGTACATATGCCCACACGGACATTCTCTTAAAACCATACTATTCGACTCTAAAGACCTTGAAACGTGGAGATATGTTAAAATTTTCAATTTGCAAAATCGGACCCATTACAATAACTTCCCACTGGGAAGTTAGCAACAATTAAATTCAATAAACATCGTGACAATTTGCGTTTACCGTAACAAACAAAGTTTATGTTCAACGAAAAAGGGCCGGATCTAACATAATTAAATTGCAGTACTAATGAATTTACGACATCCCCAGTGAATATGTTATACAACATTACTGTTCTATCGAGCCCCATGGTGAGTAGAAACAAGACACATCAATTAACAAGGCTTTTTAATATTGTACAGTACTTTAAATATCATTCCCCTAGTTATTTTATTTTAAAATATTTTTTTTCTTCATGATCAACCTGTAAAAGTACTGCTAAACACGGTATTCACCCGTCGTAGTGAGGATTTTCCAAATTCGCCACGCTTCGATCGGCGATTGCAGAAGCAGACATCCCATGGTTGCATCTTTGCCGCTGCTCCCCGTCGCTGGTCTAGTTATATTGGAAGCCATAATGACTTGTATTTTCCAAGTTGCCTTGCTTACTGATTCTCTTACACCGCCGCCAACACAGCATAACATATAACATAAACTTTCCTGCCTATCACGCAGAGGGATATACAGAGACGACAGACTTCCATTTGGCGCAATCTAAACGCGAAAAGCGAAAACTTTCACACGCATTGATCATAACCTGTGACGATCCTAGTGAAAATGAATGAGTGAAACATACTTTATACAGTAAAATAATAAAATTTAACACCAAAAAAACATTAGAGAAAAAAAGCAAAGATAATTTAAACGTACAATAGGTGACTTTATCGCTTTGAAGTGATCTCTACCAGGTAACCATATTGCAGAGGATATATTGACCTGAGAGAAAAGGTAAGGGTACGTTGATATATATATATATATATATATATATATATATATATATATATATATATATATATATATATACATAATATACAAGAGGAGAAATGAGTATGTAAGTGAAAAAAAGCCTTAACGGAAATATAAGTAGTAATTTCTAAATGAACGATGTCAAGGAGAGTAAGAGGAATGACTATTTAAGGAGGAGAGAAGTGCCCTTTCACAATTTTTAAGTTTTCAATAGATTGCGCACTTCCAATATGCAGCAGTAAGCAGTTCCAGACAGCTTCAATGGGAAAAGATTTAGAATAGAAGGAAGTATTATAATGACGGATTTTTTAAGATGAGACTTTTATCAGAGCAAAGAGAACGACAGTGAGTGTCACCAAGAAACTCAAACCAATCTTGAAGGTAAGCTTGGTAAGATTGAATAGAACACAGTATAAAAGATAAAGAATGTGTGTCGGTGTCACTATATGGCACGGATTTCCCACCAAAAACAATACCAGTTAGAGTAGGAAAATCACTTCAGGAGATATGTTAAGAGAAGCTAAGATATCTAACAGAAGACATTGTTAAATGCATTGCTAAAGTCAAGTAAGGTCAACACTG